CAAAGCCTCACGCACCCCAGACTTATTCATCAACTACATACACCTTTTGACCTCTGTTGCTCCCACCCATCCCTTCATTCTTCCGCCCTCCCCCCCCACGAATGTCCTCTCGAAATTCATCCAAAATTCCAAATTTCAGTTAAACCACTAGTACTTGGCCCAGCTATCGGCCGTGGGAAAAAATAGAGAGAAACGTTTCTAGTCGGATGAATTTGGGGGCTTTTGTAGTGGCCCGTACGTTTCCTAAAGCCGTGGCTTGTTACGGGCACGACTTTAGGAAGTACTGGTGGTCCTGACAGACCATCATCATCTAGCATCGGAGCAACCCCAGTTGCCTATAGTTTACATTCACCATTGTTCAGATTGACCTACCAAACATTACTTATTTAAAAATAATCATTACCCCGCTTATCCCACCCAATCCTACACTTATTTGCCTCCCCTCAATAACATTTTTCCCCACCTCCCGCAAAAGTCCTTTCCCCAGCTCTCTTCCCCAGTGGGCCAATCACCTAACATCGATTCAATCACGCTGGAGCAAACACCACATTCATCTTTGCTTATTAAACATTACCTATTTATTAACAATCATTACTGTTAAATACATTTATTGTTGCTTGCCATCAATTTCATCAGAAATTGGCAGCTTTTATTTGTCTTTAAGTTGGTCATATTCACAAGCCAACTTTTTCTGAGAACACAGCAGTGTCTCACATCCCCAAATCCAGACCCTTTCCTCGTAATTACTGACCCCAAGCGGCGTGGGTGATTGCTGCCAAAATTTTGCGTTTTAATACCCACCACACGCTCCTGATCATTTGGGTCTCCATTTGGCGATTGATACAACAGACCCTTTGCAATAGAGGGCCTGGATCGAGAACATATATGCGGTGTAATCTGGGTCAGCGCAGAGCAACGTGACAGCGTTTCTTCCTCTCTGTTGGTAAGCTACTTTGGGTTCAGTGTCTCTCACACTTTCAATGTTATGGAGGGCTTCGCGGATTCTTCTCCTTTTTTCCCATGGGTGGGAGGTGCTTCAGTTTTGCTGGGAATGAGCAAACAACTGCGTGAGATTCGTAGAATTTGTCCAAAACTGGGAGGTTGTCCTTCGGGTATTCCCAAACTTCGACTTCTGCTTCTTTATCCTTGTTAATTTCCAGAATTTCCTTCAATATCGCAGATTTGATGCTTCGTTTCTTTGATCATCTTGTTAAGGACCTTTCGACTTGGATCCTGTTCGCTTTGAAACCGCATCCTCCTTGATCCTGCTCCCAAGTCGGGATTTGAGGTTGTGCATGTGGCTGAGCCTGCGGCAGAGCCCGAGGCTGAGCCTGTTCCTGTGGAAGTGGTTGGTAACGGGGCTGAGATGTGGGCGTTCAACATGGTGGGGAAGGGCTGCTCTGTGTATTGACGAAGGACCTAGGAGTTAGAGAGGGAGATTGTGAGTTTGGCCTCAGGGATCGACAAGGCACATGAAGGCATTAATAACCAAACACTTTTGGATTCAGTTTGACAATCTGTCTGATGGTCTTCATGGAATGGTCGAAGAAAGGCTGAAGGTTTCTTACCCACAATGTCCTTTGGTTGAGTGGGTCTCCTCGGCCCCTGGTTTTCTAACCCCAAGCACTAATTTAAGAATCACGTGCGTTGAATTGAAACCAAGCAACCCACCTGAAATCCCGGACATGTGGTTCTTCACGATGGGTCATCAAGTCCAGACAGTCTACATCTCCACAAAAGCGAACCCCATGTGCTTTAGATGCAGAATCAAGGGACACATAGGGAACGATCCCCATTGCCCACTGAACAACAGAAAGGGTGACGGGAAAAGACTGCACCCTTCAATGCTGGTGGAAGCGGAAATAATGAAGGGCATTTGGATCGTCAACGACCCAGCCTACGTAGGTTGGGTCTTTGACGATCTCAACGAAATCCCAACATGGATCTGGACACTTTCAGATTCCGACTCCAGTATGCAAACATGATGTGTTCCCTCCCCGTGGGAGAAGATGGCAGGCTGGAGAAGGGAAAAGGAATGACAGATCCACACACAGGTATGATAATTTCATCCTTGGACAAGCCTGTCACCTAGAGCAAATAACGTACAGAAATCAGATTCTCATCGAAGTGCATTCTATGGGAAGAGAGGCGGAAAACACTTACCTCGAAAACCTGCAGATCAGAGATGGCCTGGAAGCAAAGAACGGGGGCAGAAGCAACAAGGAGTACCCAAGACAGTCAAAAAGGAAAACAAGAGGAGAAGAAGAAGAAGAAGGCAAGGGATCAGACAAGGGAGCAGACAAAGGAG